CTTGTCATAAATGTAAGCAGCAGGTCTTGGCGCCGACTGGCTCCCTCCCAAAATCTCTCCTGCCTGAGCCCTCAGGAGTGAATGAATGTGCTGAAACGGTTAGTTTTAGCACCGAGCCAACGCTCGTCTCCAGGGGCTGCCACCGCTGCTGCTTTTAATTGTCTGGAAAGACTCCGTCTGCTGCTCCAACATTTGCACAGACTGGCTGCATCTGTGAAATACTTTATGTCGAGAGAGGAAGTCACATGTAAGGAGTTTGTTAAAGCAGCTGCGGGTTTGTGTTTGGTGATAATTGCACAGATTCGGCAGAGCAGCGGCGAAACGCCGCGATGTTTACTGCCGAACGACATGATGGCTGTTAGCAGGTGGTGGTGTTGTGATGTAAATGGAAGAAATCCACTGGTTTAAGAGAAGAGCAGTGTGGAAGTTTATGAGGCTGCTCAGATGCACAACAACAAGCTGTAAACACACAGATTTGTAATCCTCAGAAGAGGAGACGAGGCATCGTTCACCACGAAGTCGCCGTCTGAGTGGGAGTGAATGCATTTCATCATTAACTTAATAATGTTTGTGGGTGTGTGAGAGCACAGTAGGTACTATCACTGAGAGAAGGAAGGGAGGAAGGATGGAGGATACGAAGAAGGAAGTGAATTTTAAAGGAAGGAAGGAAGGAGGATACGAAGAAGGAAGTGAATTTCAGAATGAAAGGAGGAAGAAAGGAAGGTTCGGGAAAAATGGACAAAAAGAAGAAAGGAATGATAGAGGGGAGGAAGGAAGAAGACGGGAGGAACAAAGGGAGGTGAAACAGAGGAGTGTGTGTCAGTAACAACAAGTGTGGTGACTGTGTATCAGAGCAACAACAGGTGGAATCATTGGATGTACGGCCTTTTTGTTAAAATGGTTAAAGGTTTCAGTCTGATGTGTTTCACAAATCGATTTTTACACAATTGACCCGTTCATTTATGTCCTCCCCAGGTCACTTTAATCCATTCTAGAGTTTGTGTTGGAGGGAAGTTTGAGGCCATCCCTCATTATTATCATCATCATGTCTTCAGACCTGCACAGATCTAACTTCACCTAAACTTGACTGACACCACCGTCGGTGACCCCTGACCCCTGAACACCCACTCTGAGAGCAATTAAAACTTTGTCGTCAATCGTCTGCCATCAATTCTCCACGGCATCCAGAGTTGGAGCGTGAGCTCTCATTAGAGCTGAAGTTAGAGAGAAGGAGTTTGATTCTCTCCTCTCTCTCTTTCTCTCTTCTTTTTTATTTTATTATTTACGGCACGTCTCGTATCTCACGCCATCACTGTGATTTAGCTGCGTCGATACGCGCTCTCCGCCTGCCAAGTGTGGACCGGACAGGAAGTAGATGCAGGGTTAATTTACACAGTGATGCGTCTGAACGGTCAGCGGTCGCCACAGTTTGTTTCCTGAGCTGCACTTACACATTAACCGTGAACATTCCTTACCTTGTCTAAATGTGTAACTTGCAGATTTCAAGGTCTTTTTGTGAGAATTAGTGGCATCTAGTGGTGGTGAGACTCCAGAAAAAAAAAAACGAACATGTTTAGTGGCATTCTGAAAATAGATTAAAATCACACACTGATTTTTTCAGGCCTTGTTTTTGTTTTTGTTTGTTTGCACACACACACACACACACACACACCTTTTGTGTGAATCTCAGTGTACCACGCTGTCTCCTGGCCTAAAAGAAGAAACGCACCACCTGCAGCTTCACCTGCTGCTGCTGCTAAAGTTGTTGATGCTAAACCTGTCGCTGCTGCTCATGTCGTAGCTGAGTGCGCTAACAGTATTGTTGCTGAATCAACAGTTGCTGCCGATGGAGGTGGCGTCATCGTCATGGCTGCAGTGTTAGCTGTTAAAGTTGTGGTTACTAAGCTGCTGCCTCTGTACCTGCTGCTAGACCCAAATACTACAGTTGCTAAAAGTACTGAGGCTAGCTAAGGTGCCTGTGCTTGAAGTACTGCCGTCAAAGCTGCTGCTCACTATGTTGCTACTAAAATAGAGCCTTCATCTCGTGTTCCTGCTGCTGTTCCTCCTGCTAATTTCCGCAGCTGCTTAAAGTCACTCCTGAAACTGCTGCTGAAGTACTACTGCCACTCAAACCTGTTGTGGCCAGTATGTTCTCACATACTTGTGCTGATGCAGTAGTACTACAGTATCTGCTCACGCTGCCGTTGATACTGCTGCTGCTGCAAAGCCACATGGGACTGGACTTGCTGGGAATACTGCTGTTTTGGCTGCCGCTAAAGTTGCCGTTCAGTCTTGTATATAACTGCTGTAGCTGCTGTGTCAACTGTTGCTGCCGAAGTTGCCGTTGCTGAGTCAGCTGCTTTTAAATCTACTGCTAATGCTGAGGATTCTGCTGCTGCTACTGCACTTCGCCAAACAGCTGATGCTAAAGCTGCCACTGTGGCCGAAGCTACTGCTGCTGCTGAGGCCCAGGTGTTGTTGTTGTTGTTGTTACTATCCTGACACATCAGCCTTTGTTTGTTTTCAGTAACCTTATTTGTAATTTTATTTAATAATACATTTAATTTTTTTTGCTATTTAGCTGTGTTTTGACTACTGTCTCTTTTGCTAGGTCAGCCAGTTCAGGTTTGTATTCATTTATTTGCTATTGTTATTTAACAGCCACCATTTTTATATTTTATTTTTACACGGTTGACAACGGAATTTATTTTTTTGAGGTGAAAAGTATTATTTGAAATATATTTTTTGCAAACTTGAGCTTTCTTTTTGCCAAATGTTAACACATTATGCGTGACAATTAATGGATAAACAAATCCCCTACCTGGGAAACAACGCTGAACATTTTTAACTTTCCAAAATCTTGTGGTTTGTTCCATTCTAAAATTTCTTGCGCAAATCTGAGTACTTCAAGGACATTTTAAAGCCTGTGCTGAATTCTTTTTTTTTTTTTTGCCCTGAGAAAAAAGAAAGAAAATGAATAAAAATCCTATGTAGCTGTTATTTCTCACCTTCTTTCTCTTGAACTGTTACTGATCCTTTTCATTTATTTAATGACTCTGTCACGGATCAACCAGAGCTATTATGGTTCGTTTACGTGTGTTCAGACTTGACATCAATGCAGGCTTTTACAGGAAAGATAATTAACCCATCAGCCTCCACAGGTGACCGATGATTGACATTCTTTTTCTGGAGACATTTATATCAATGGGTAAGAGATTGGCATGACCTCTGCCTCGCCGATGAGTCATTGCAGTCATAAATGTGTATGTACATATATATATATATATAAATAGCCATTGCTGTTTTTTCTAACTTAGTTATTTTTTGAACATTTAAGTTATTTATTTTGATCGTTAATGTTTGTCACCTCTAATGTCCAGGATTTTTATTTTTCACTGATGACATTTGGTTTGACTCCGAGGTTCAGGATTTCCTAGCGGACTGGTTTTCTTGCTAATTTCTGCCCCATGTTTGCGTTCCACCATCTTCCACTGCTGGGTTTGAACAGCTGCTGACTACACTACAGCTCTGGGGAGAAATGTAGGAGGCAAGTCAAAATTTTTGTCTTAAATCAGCATCTCTACATGTGGAGCAGCCGTTTTTATTATAGCGTCTGCTGAATTTCTACTTCGCACGCTGGCCCTGATTCTACACAACCAGGACCTGATCGGGTTCTCACCTCCTTGATGGATGTTCTACGTGAAACTGACCCCAGAACATGTATCAGAAAAAACTTTGTCTAAACATACGGTACAATTTACACTCTGCAAACTTTAATGAAAAAAAAAAGGCAAATGAGACCAAACCACATTTGCATTTCTAAATAGTTGACCTGCATTGTGAAACGTCACACTGATCTTTGTCTTCTTCTTTTTTTTAATAATTGAAAACTGTTATGTTTTATTCAAGGTCTGATGTCATTGAAGTTTTCTGGAGCACATAATATAACTACAATTTTGATTGGTGCGCACTAAAATGTTAGTTTAACCTTCACTGTACCTTAAATAGTAAATAACCTGTGAGTGTTTCAAGGTCCGATGATCTTATGGACATCCTTCCAGAATAAAAGCCTTTGTGGCAGGTGGCTGCTAAACTGTGAGTCAGCAGAAGTTAACATGACTCAGCATGACTCAGCAGGTCATTTTTCTTTGCTTTGTCTTTTTTTTGTTTCTCTCTGATGAAGGTGGAAGCTAAAGTTTAGTCGTGATTAATTTTTCTTCTTGATGCTGTGGCTCATCCAACATCAATTTCTCTGCAATAAACACAGACAAGAGCAGAAGCAGGAGGGATCCCCTTAAAAATAAAAGCACAGGAGAACGTGTCCAAAGTCTTACTTTAGGAAGAATATAATGATGTTACAGCATAAAACGAAAACTTTAACTTTTCTAGAAATAATCATTTCTAATTTGGGGTGTGACTAAAATAGTGTTCTGAAATAATATCCTTATATGTTCATTTTCAGTTTTAACTGAACTTCAAGGGATACAACAACAAAATACAATAATAATAATTATATTAATAATATCAAATAGAATATATAAAGATAATAAAATAAATGTCGGTACATATTTTCTGTGTATCTTATCAAAATTGGAAGATTAATAGGAAATAATATTCATAAATAATTAAATAGTTACATAACTCTTTAAATAAAGGAAAATACATTTTTGTTTTTTACATTTTGTCATTGTTTTATTAATTTATTTTAAAGGCATTTAGTAATGGTTTGTAGATTTTTTAGTGTTTATATTTATGTAGTTTAATGTATTATTCTATTATTAATGTTATCATTATTATATGTAATGACAGTTAATTTTATTTTAAATTTTTAATTATTTTAAAGTGAATTTATTTCACAACAATTGTATCCAAAGTAATTACTTTAACGTTATACATTTTATTTAATTAACTCTTTATTATTTTATCATATTATACATTTTAATTACAATTTCATTTTAGTGATTTAATTTTTACAAATTAAATATTATTTATTTGGAGATCCATTATTACACATTTCATTCTTAATTTTAATCAACGGTTTTAGTTTCCCTTATTTTGAAATGGCTGACCGGAACTTGGTGTTTAACCGCTGCTGGAGCTTCACCAGCTCCATCTGCGCTTGACTGTGTTATAAGGTGAGCACATTTTAGTTTGGAGCGGACTGTGAAAACCCAAGACTGGAACCAGAGGGGGTCTCAGGTGGAGACTCGAGTCCTAATTATCTGCGCACCTGCGCGTTCACGGCAGAGGCGCAGACACATGTGGGATCAATTTACCCCTGATTACTGAGCCACAGAGAGGAAGGAGAGAGGAGTTTGAGTGACTTGGCTGCGCGTCAGGCTCTGGAGATGCTGCTGCTCTAATGTGTTAAAGTAAAACCAGTGGAGAGGCATTCAAGTCAATTCGTTATTTCCTCTTCCTTTTTTTTTCCCGCTGCGCGTTTTTTTTCCCGCTGCGATACCCTTCACGGCTGAGGGACCGACGCGGCTGCGGCTGAACCACCACCGGTCATCTTTGGAATGTTTCTTCTCCTCCTCATCCATCCATCCTCCTCCTCCTCCTCCTCTCAGCTCCTCTCTCCTTAAATACATCCACAGAAGTCGTTGCCAGCCGAGACACAGCGGCGGTGCGGAACCGCCGGGCGCGTTTGTCTTCGCCGCTCCACCGCTGCTTTGCGCAAGGAATTCCGTCCGTGAATTTCGGACACATCGCACAGTGTCTCACCCAGACTTCCCAAATCCTGCCACACACTCCCCAGGGAAGTGGTGCAGCTGGCGGTGTTCGCTGTTGGCGTTGGAGACGCAGCATTCCTGTGTTTGTCTCCGGCCAGGTTGACGCGCGTCATCCTCCACTAATGTCCACTGATTTACGGCTTCCGCGCATGGACTTGGATCAAGCTGAGGAGCAGCTGTGTGACTTCCCCTCGACACTCGTGTAACTTTCTTCTCCTGTGTAAATGGGAAGGTGACACTGTGTGATTTTCTTTTTTTGGGGGGGGCGGGAGGTTGGAGAAGACACATCGCAGGGACTGTGGATGGACTATTGAGGACAATCTGAGGGACACGCACAGATTCCTATCTCTCTGTTGCGCATTATCCAACTTCAGCTTTCAGGGAGAAGCTGCAACAGCGTCGCGTTGGAAGGAAAAGCTTTGGAAGATTTTACTCCTCTATCCAACAACTGGGATTTAACGCCTGCCATCTGGGATTTCTACCATGTCAAGTGCACGGGATTTCAAGTGGAGCCTGGTCATCTGTGTGGCGGCGCTCTCATATGGTGAGTAAGAGAGAGAGAGAGAGAGGAAGAGAGAGGAAGAAAGAGAGTGAGAGAGAGAGAGAGGAAGAGAGAGGAAGGGAGAGAGTGACCACCACCACCTCCTCCTTCATCCTCCCTTTTCTCCTCCTCCTCCTCCTGTTTTCTCCATCTGAAGGAATAATTGTGTTGCATAGAAAAGTAAATGGTACCAGGAAATTCTGCAACATGCTGCAGCATCGGCACCGCTGCTCCTGATTGGTCATTTTGGACACACTCTCACACACCGTTTCTCTTGGTGCTTTGTGAGGTCTTCACACACAGATGTAATGTATTCCTCACCTAACCTGTAACCCACATATGCCTAATCTCAATCTTCACCCTAAATCTAATCTGACCCTAAATCTAATCCTAACTCCAACCTCAGAATGTCCTCTCACTCAGAGAGGACTTGTGAAAATGTCCCCTGAAGGACAGTGTCCTCACAACAATAGAATGACAAACACGTCACACGCAGGTTTGTTAATCTATTCTCGTCAGGACAGCACTGTTCCGTCTTCACCTCGTCCTTAACCATAATCTCCAGTTGACATCCCTGAACCCAGAACGTTAAAAATGAACACACAGAACCCCAGAAGTCAGACTCTGCCTCATTAGTTCTTGGCTTTTAGTCCTTTTGAGGTCCTGAGTTTTGACAAGGTCCGTGTCCACACAGAGAGGTTCTAACAGGGGGTGTCTACAGGTCAGGGACCGTCTCACAGCGGACCCTCCCTAAACAGTTCAACGTAACCCTTCCTCTAAAATCCTACCTTAACCTGATCCCAAATCAATCTTAAAACCAACTCTTAACCCCCCGCCCAACCTTTTAGAACATTATGTCCTGACAAAGCCATTACATTAGTGTGTTGGTGCCAGAGTGTGTCCTCCCAGCTGTACAAGAACAGGGATGTGAGTGCAGCTATTGATTGTTTTTTTTCTAATGTTGGAACAAGCGTAGTTTGGACCCCTGTGGTGCAGGAGGTAAAAGCTTCACCTCTTAATGAGTGCTGTTAACAACCCACGGTTACTGGTCCAGTTAGGGTCAGTCAGTGGTCTGCACCTCACACCTTCACCAGTGTAATCAAACACTCACGCTCACCTTTAGCCTCTAATGTGAACCATGCTGACCTGGACGTTAGGTTCTGGTTGTTTTGTGATTCCGACCGCGGCTGTCCATCTGCACCGTCACATGGTGGCGATGTCCACAGCATCTTGACACTGATCCCAGTACACGTCTTTGATTTGGAAGAAGCCGAGGCCTTTCTTCTGGTGAACCATGCTGTGATGCAGTCTGTGATCCTCTGATGTTCCCAGCCTGCTCTACACTCATCCTCCTCCTCATCTGTTGGTGCTGTCTTGTTTTGTTTTTGGGGGGGTGTAGTTTTATTTAAATGATCATGGCACCAGATGTTGCGTCATCACTGAACTGTGAGTGTTTGTTTGTTTGTTTGTCTGTTTGTCAGACAGGCTGAAGGTTCTGTGAAGACAGGATTGTTCAGGTTTCAGTCCATGCTTCAGTCAAATAGTTCTAAGACAGATGCTGCCATTTTAAAATGACACCTGTCGGGCATCTCATGTATAAACGTTGTCTTTGTCAAGGGTTAACGAAGAAAAACTGTGAAAAACATCAAATCAAACATTGAAACTTCTCAGCCAAACTTGACTGAAAACATGTCAAAAATATTTTAGCTTCATATCAGGTTTTGATGTAGCTACCACTACTGTTTTTTTAATTTTTTGCTTGCCGTAAACATTGGTCAGAACAGAACGATCTCCACGTTGACGTTAAAATCGAAACACTTTCTGACTCAGTAGTTGAAAACCTGGAAGACGTTAGCGTGTTAGCCAGGGTTTAGCCGTGTTCACTGCCCAACATAGGATCGATTACAGTAAAGATATTCTGCTTCTCTCGACTTCCTCCAGTGACCTGCATCGACCAATCCCCCGATGGCGTTTCAGTGTCGTGGCTCTGGTGAACACGGTGGTCGGAGACGGTATGAATTATTGTTATTGGCTGCCTCAGATCCACGTGTGGAGTGATTAATGTCCCTGTATTCTACAAACCCATAAACACTGGCAACAGAAGCCGTGCTGCTGGTGTCCCTGCAGGTTTAGATAAGAACTGCAGGTTACAGTCACTGACTCACACCTTATACAACAATCACAGTCTCCCCCTTCTGGTTTTAATCTTTGTGCGCACAAAAACTGCCTCTTCACTGTGGGAAGGCTGTTACACAACAGATAAACTTATGGCGTTGGATCCACAAAGTCCAGATCAAACATCTCTAAGATGATTTGCTGACATGTGGAGTCTGGAACTCTAATCCCTCCTCTAATATCTAACTCACTCCCCAGTAAACCCGTACAATGGCTCGCGGCACAATTTCCAGCCACAGGCATAGAACCTAGATGGAGGTTTTGTGGTAGAGAGTGGGGGGAGGGGGGGCTACCTGCTATAGTTTGAACTATTAGCACCATTTCAGTGCATGGTTTTAATTGTATAATAATAATGAGGTTTTATTTCATATATAGATTTAGTTCAGAAAGCTGCAAAATTAAGAATCTAAAAACAATATAAAACGCTGATTGACAGTCGGCTGATCTGTGGTCTGCACTGAGGGACCGTCAGAGGTCTCTGATCAGAGGTCTCTGATCAGAGGTCTCTGATCAGAGGTCTCTGATCAGAGGTTTCAGAGAAACTTTTTAGCATTTGCAAACAGAAAAATAAAATTCTAAACACAAAGGTAAACGAAGTAGTGATTTCATACGCTGATGAAATCTCATGCGGTACTAGGAGCGTCCCCTCTTTTTTTTTTTTTTCACCCCGTGCTCAGTGCCATCACTGTTAGTGCACACGCAGCCGCACTTAAATTTAGCGTTTGAGGTCAGCACCGAGCGTTTCACCTGCGTAAGCGGCCCAGAGGAGGAGATCTTGTCCTCCCCTTTACACCCGCACAGCGGCTCCATGGATTTTCACACAACTTCTGTCTCTTCTACTCATGTTCCTTCAGTCCTCCTCATATTCATTAGAACAAAAGAAACGCCTACGTCTGCACTAAAGACCATACTCTGTGTTGGCTTTTTTGTTTTCTTTTCACTACGTCTGAGAAAGCTGGCGTGGCAGCAGCAGCAGCAGCATCAGCGTGGGATGCAACCCTCTGCCCACACGCGTCCCACTAACGCCCCGTGGTCAGTGTTTGCAGGATGCAGGATTGGGAAGGGGAACGCACCTTCCTGGATGAATAAATGAACCAGTGAAGGCGCTGCTGTCAGAAGTAATTGCAGTGACAGATTTAGCACAAGGCCACGGCGCCGAGGCTGCCTCCGCGGATGATTCCTCAGCCTCGTGGCCTCGCAGACCCGGCGGAATCTTGTAGCCGCAGCCATCGAGGTGGTGCTAACGACGTGCGTTCCTTTTTGTCACCCTCGTGTATGTTAAGCAAACACTTCGGTGAAAATAGGCCTCATGAGAAATGCAGCAGAAGAGCTGTTAGGCAGACAAATCCCCAGGTGTGGAGTGGGAATACAATATCATAGAGCCACTCTGGAGGAAACACCGCAGTGATGAATCCATTATTCTCTCTTCTTCCTCCACTTAGGATGTCACACAGAATGAGAGGAGGAACGTGGTAAAGATCAGCCTTATGCCTTAGTTTGCTTAAACTAAAATTTGAACTTTTCGTGTTGGCTTTTAGCTGGACAATCCGACATGCTAACCTTTGGCCTGGATTAACTAACCATACTATGTTTAGGCAACACTTAGCAATGTTTTTGTTACTAACCATACTATGTTTAGGCAACACTGTTTTTGTAATACTTGCATTTTTCATGCAATTGTTTTTTATTTTTTTCTTGTCTTATCTAATGATTAGCTCGTCTTTGGCCAACACAGAGCAGTTGAACACTCCAGTGTAAATTCAGGAATTGAAGAAAGACACGCATAAATCTTTTTAGTATAGCCATTTGCTGCCACCTAGTGGAAATATATATACATTTTTTGCTTGTCACAAAGACAAACTAAGGAAAATAATTTCCAGTTTATTTGGTTTTCACACCAACTCAAATCTCCAGACACACTGCTGGGCTGCAGCACAGAGGTTGGGAATCACAGCTTTCAAGGAAAACTTCCAGAAATACTTAAGATAAAAACATGACCAGACCCTGATGTTAATATTCCAAGGTCCAAACCTGATCTTTAAAGGTCATTTCAAGCTGTGTTTCAGGTTGATGGAATATGGACTGTTTAAGCTGGGATTAATGGGACGGCAGAGATAATGATTTGCAGCGTTTCCCAGTGAATTAGTTGCGGCAAATGTCCTGATTAAAGGCCTGTGATTTATTTCGGAGCTGCATCTGCAGTCAGGTGCGTACCTCGGCCCGGGGAGCCGTGTTTGCCCAGTCATGGTCTGGATGTGTAGTTGGCAGCGTTCCCAGTGTTTCTGGCTCTATCTGTGGACAGAGAGCAGACAAAGCAGCAGTGTGGCTCACCAGCTCTCATGTTCGGAGCCTAATTAATTTACTCGCCCTCCACTGAAGCTGCTGTAGCTGGTGTCCCGTTTCCAAGGTGTTTTTCTTCGTTTCTAAAATCCTTTTGCGTGATGAATATTGCCTTTACAACGAAACACGTTCAGTTTTTTCAAGCAGTTTTATTGGTCATTCAAGACTTCCCGCATCTCTCTCGTCGCCTTTTTTTGTGTCTATAAAGCATATGGCTTTTCATGTTAGCCAGCAGCTCTCTGTTATGACTCAAGGGCAACGCTTTCTCTTTGTCATATTTTACCAGCAGTTGATATGGAAAAAGCTGTACAGAGCCCATGTCATCCATTTTAACTTTAATCTATACATATGGAAAAGTGTAAACAACACAACAGGAAAAAAGGAGGCTGTTTATTTTTCCAACTTCCTGTTTATTGAGAATAATCTCTTGCTCTGTGTGCAGTGTGTTAGAATCAGTAATACTGTATCACACAGTCACCGATGCTCCT